GTCGTGTAATTCTTTTTTCAATAGCAAGTAATTTAGCTTTTTTACCCTTTACGGTGGCTGATTTACGTTTTCAACTCAGTTGTTAACACTAAATTACCTGCTATACTCTCCCACAGACGCAGAACCACAGTTTCTTTAGAAACTTACCCCTTTATTCTTTTTTCTATAGACTGATTTGCGATGTAGGTACCTCATGTGATGGTTTAGCAAGTAATACGGTGAATATTTTGCGAGTTGTGTTTTTCAGAGCCCTGCAGAAGCAAAGAAATATACGAGCAATGAGAAAATGTACATTCTGTGTAACCTCTTTCTTTTTCTGTCACTTTCTTTTTGCCGTAAACGCTAACAAAAAAGAATATCAATAATTATCTCTGAAAAATATTTATTCCGCATTGTAGACAACTGATGTAAAAAAACGACTTTTCCAATCTCAATTTCCCATTTGATTTTCCGACTCGTTATTCTCCATTTCTTAAGCTTGTTTCCCGTTTTAGTAACAACCCTCTCGTTATTGACGGTCCTTCAAGCGTGCTTTCGACTGAATATTGCAAGTAATTCAGGTTTATCTTTGTTTTCCTTTCCTTCGCTTTGTGATTGGTTGGGGAACTAACGACCCGATCTCAACCAACCAGAAACAAGACTGAATCTAATCACCACCTGGTGATGCACATTTTCCCGCGCTTCAAGCATTTTGCTTTGTTTCACTTTAAGATCTTATTGGCTACTTGTGATAATTCTTCGTGTTCTGATGGAATGCTGCAAAAACTAAAATTTCGATTATACGACACTCGATCAAAATACCCTCTGTTCATCTACTATAGTGACTGGCGGCTGATTTCTCCCTACAGTATATAACCCTTCAATCAAATGAAAAGGTGATGAGAGGAAAGAAAATGATCACCAAATTCGAGAAGCTCCTGATTATCAAACAATTCTCCTCGTCATAAACATAGGATATCTAAAGAGAACAGTGCAGAAAAGAAGAATACTCAGGTGAGGCTGTCGAAGATCTAATTTCTCCTTACAATGTCACCACTGAATCACACATTAATGTCATGAGAAAAAAGGAAATGATCACCAACTAAAGAAACTCTTGATTGGTATACAAATTCTCCTTGTCAGCACCTCAGTAAATGTACAGAGAACAGTATGGAGAATATGAATACTGATGTTAGCCTGTGAAGGGTTAAGTAACATAATTCATCGCTGGAACTGTTGGCGCTGAATTGTGTCTTTGAGAGGTAGCCTGGGGCGATTTGTAACGAGTGTCTTTAAGTATAAGATATTGGAAAGTATTTTAGGTCCACTCAAGGTTCCAATATGAACATTTTAATCTTACAACTCGGGACTGTATTTACAAACACAACACAAGCGAGGATTTCTTTCGAAAAACAGAAGCACGAAGTCACAAAGCCAATAAGGCTGTGCGCGCGTACATCAGTGTGTCACGCCTAGTGTAGTCACGCCTAGTGTAGTCACGCCTAGTGTAGTCACGCCTAGTGTAGTCACGCCTAGTGTAGTCACGCTTGGTCACGCCCACAAATTCTAACACAAGATATGAGTATTCTTCCCAAGTTTTTGATCTTGTGTGTTGTGACTTCTGATTTCCTTTACAAACACACGATAACTTTTTCTTCCTCTTTGCTTATTTCTTTGTAGGTGGAAGTTCAATCTGCACCTTAACAGTTTGAGTGAAAGGTTGAATCACTTCACGAAGGTTTTCATGCCTTGTTAAGGGTGGACATGACATTCTTCTGTTCATTATTGCGACCAATGGTTCTCGAGACACAGTCGGTGTTCCAGTGACCATGTGTGTGTCCGCTGTCCAGGACTGTGACCGTGTGAGGCGTTGACCTCTTTCTATGTAGACAAGCTCTTTCACATTTACAAACGCGGAAGAATATCGCTGGCGTCTTTTACGAAGACCCACGTGAACCGCTGGCTGAATTTCCCGTGGCTTACTTAGCAGTCTAAGAGCAGCTTCCCTATATTTCCTGTTTCTATAAAAATACAGCGCAGGATTTACAATGGAGTTTAACCGGAGGAAAGTTTCTGCCCATCGCAAAACTGAAATTTCACGAAAAAAAAGGGAACGTTGCGCTAAGACGTGTGCAACCCCTAAAGGAACGATAGCGATTAAAATGGCAATTGTTAGCAGAAACACCGTCAAAGCCGTTTTACGTTCCATCCTCGCTTTGATCAGAGCATTGACGTGGCTGAATTGGCTTCGGTTCCATTTTCGTATTCCGATATAAACCATGGAATAAAAATACACCATAAGGATAAAGGCGAGTAACTGGACAATAGCAAATATAACACGAAGTACCATTCTGGAAACCGCAGTAGCTTCTAATGCGAGAAATAAGACCGATGTTGTAAGGGCTGTCATCCAAGCGATTATCGCTAATCTCGTTAAGCGTTTCTCGGTTACTATAGCCTTGTACTTCATAGGCTTTACAATCGCAACATACCTCTCCCAACTGAACAGAACTACGTGATAGTACGAAGCACGGTAAGTAGTGCCCGAAACTAATTTGGTAAGTTTAGCTATCACACAGATCATGCCCACCGATATAGTTCCTCGAAGAATTAACGCATCTAAAGTGATGTTAAATGGGGCAGAAACCGCACCCACTATGAGATCTACGACTGCCAAACTGGTGACTAAAATGATAGAGTTTGTCTGCAATTCTCTCGTTTTCTTGATTGCTAAGATCACCAAAATGTTCAACAAAACTGCAAATAAACCTATTACGGCAGATAAAGCGATTCCAAGCTGTAGGAACGCTTTCCTTTCTAAATCCCAGATAATCAGCGGAGCACCTGGACAAAAGAACTTTGACCGGGAAGAGTTTACAAGGGGATCTTCAGACATACTCACATTCATGTCGACATATGATCAGTCAAGTGATCATCATGGCTCGGTTTACCCTCCAATATGGAGTCGAAGAACTTGAAGCTTATGTAATCATTTTTATCATTTTCCTTTTATGGACCGTAATTTCCGTTTCAAAAAAAATCACGGATGTTGACCGATGAAATCGTAACAGAGATGTCTTTGTATTAAGGCAACGGCGAGAAATCATTTTCTTAGGCTTTCCGCCCAAGTTTTTTGTTTCGTTTTATTTTTATTTGAAAATGTGTATTTTCCTTTGAGGAGCCTGATTTCCGTCAGAAAAATCACATGTTGACCGATGAAATATTCATAGAGATGTTTTTGTATTGAGGCAGCGGTGAGAAATCATTTCCTTAGGTTTTCAGAACGAGTTTTTTTGTTTTATTCGTGTTTGAAAAATGGTTTATCAGCAACTTGAAAATGCACATTTTCCTTTGAGGAGCCTTATTTCATTAAAAAAATCACATGTCGACCGAATAAATCTTCACAGAAATGTCTGTGATGAGGCAACGGCGAGAAATCATTTCCTTTCAGAACGAGTTTTTCGTTTTATTCGTATTTGAAAAATGGTTTACCAGCAATTTGAAATTGCACATTAGAAAAAAACGTCCTACGAAAACATGAAATGGCTTGTAATCTGATAGGATAATCTACAATGGTAAACCAAAGAAAAAAAATAGCGAGGCGAAAAAAGGGTCGATTCTCTCGTATATTAGCTAGCGCGATATAGTCCAAGCCCATCGAAGAGTGCGATGGAGCTCGTCTGACTTGCTTTTGCTGCTATTTAATTACAGAGTATGTGACACTACTTCAACTTTTTTCATTTCCATAAGGACAAAGGGACGGTTACTGCTTTCTTTTAGTAAGATAATTGGGAACCATTTCATTTTCAGAGCAAACCGGAAACAAGGATCTCTTTAACGCACTCTTCGATTGAATGTCGTAACACCAAAACCAGGTAGTATCATCGGCCAATGAGAAGAAAGGAAGGCACCCCAAAGAGCCAACGAGAGCGCAGATTAAAAACGAGCATCCTCGACCATTGGAGATTACGTACTTGTATCCAATATACTGAACATTTCGCCTTTTGGCGACCAAAATGACTAAATAGTTTCCACAAAATAAATGTTTGTTGACTATTATAAATAAAAACGAAATGGGCACTTAATGCAATATCTAATGAGAAAAAGGGAATAACGGAACACGCAGAAATAACATTTAGAGAGAATGTTTGCCTTAACCCTTTTAAACCCTAACATCAGTATACATATTTTCCATACTGTTCTCTGTACATTTCTTATGCTGCTGAGAAGGAGAATTTGTGTAACAATCGAGAGCCGCCTCAGATGGTGATCATTTCCTACTTTCCTACATTTCCTCATGGCCTTAAAATTTGATTAAAGGGTGCTTAGAGAGACGGATAGTTCGTTAAAAGTATTCAAATTCGCGGCCTCCTGAGGCTAAATAGCATAAAATTTACTGAGTTAATGATGTATGCCCATAATATCTAAAAAAAAAGAATTTCGTGTCATATCATCATGTGTAGAAAAGACAACGTACAGAAGGTCTACCGATTAAACATGGATGGAATTTATGTGTACGTGTAACGATTAGTGCGCATTTTTGACGACGTAAAATTGCGCTAGATTCCAAAATTGTATAATTTTTGTTGGATAGTAACACATGATGGGTTTTTGTGCACACTGTTACCGAGATACAACAGAGTGAAGAAGTTTTGTGACACTGCTCTTTGCGCCTGTATTTCAAAGATTTGATGCTATACAATGCTAGATTGTGACGATATGAAACCAGGAGAAATTTCGCGCAGTGCGCGGCCGGCTAAAATTAATTCCTTTGCGCATGCCAGACGTTTGACCGCTGTGTTCAGTTACTGTTCACCGACAATAATCTCTTTGAGGACTTTCATGACCCAGACGATGAAACTAAACGATCGAACAAATTAAATTGTTGTATACAAATCAGTAACTGACACGTAGCGGTGCATTGTGAAGTCTCTTATGTACTTGTTAAGATAACCGTCAACACACTACCAAGACAAGCTTATTTTACGGATTAATTACATTTTAAGCCTCACTCCCAGAACTCCGCACGGCGTGTTCACGGCCTTTTTTTTCCTTAACGGTGCGATAAGATCAATTTTTCTTTTCGCTAATTTTTATTTAACTCGTGGCGGACCTAGCCGAAAAGGAGGGAGTTTTTAGTCTATCAGGTAAATAGAAAGAAAACGATAGTCTGACGGTAAAATGGATCGTGCCACTTATAGCATTGTTTCAAAATTTTACTTATTCCTTTGGTTAACTGGTTAAAAACGATTACAATATAGCCAATAAATTGGTGAAATTAAATTCATATGTGCATGCGTGTTTTATATTACAATCGTGCTCACAGATAACGTGTGTATACGAGCGGAAACGTGTGTACGAGCGGTCTGATGGAATCTCTCTTTCTACAACAGTAAATACCGGGTTGAAAATGTACCAAATCAATTGACTATTACACGTGCCAATTCGCATTGAGCGAGATATGAAGCACTTGGGAAGTTTAACGAGGACTCAAGAAGTCAGAGTTGCTCGGCCCGGTATGCCTCGAGCGGCTCTCCATAGGGCTCTTCAAAATCCCTGCTGCTTCATATCTCCTACAAATATGTACGCATGGTGACACCAAGTAATAAATAGTGCATTTCAAACCTCATGCAAAGTCAACTGCCCAAAACTCGTGACAAAATTTAACTTGGTGTTCACCAGATGCAACATACTGCTCTTGACCTTTGAGCAGACTTTCACGGATGGTGTTGTATGACTGGGGGGGGCAGCAGAAGCAGTGAGGAAAATTATTTTCTATCCGAGGCTCATTTGCTTGCTGCCTTAGTTTGCAGCTCCTGTGGGAGCTTCTTATTGACTATTTTGAGCTCAATCAGGTTAAGAGAGCACGCAAAAGGCTTCATGGTGTGCCTCCGTCAGTCTAAAGGCAGAACACTGTCCCTGTCACCGTCTACATTTATCACAACATCTGCTATATTCAGTTCATCACTTATACTGTCGTCTTGTTGTTGTCGTGTTTCATTTCCATTTGCTGCAGGTTCTTCCTCTCCTCCTACAATTTCCTCTTCTTCTTCTGTTTCCCAGCCATCCTCGTTATCTGCAGCTGGGTCACCTATGGCAGGTCTGGGTACCACAGGGACACCCTCCTCACCCTCTCTGCTCGTGTTGTAGGAACCACACTCCATGCACTTCAAGCCGAGAACATGAAATTTTACTTTGCTTTTCTATTAGAAAAAAAAAGTTTCATGACATTCACATACACTCAATATTTCCCTACAACCACTTAGAAGTGATGTTTACAGTCTCTCAGCAGTGTGATGTAGTCATAAATTGCAACATCTTTTAGTAAATGTGTTTTAATTTTCTAAGTACAAATTATGCCAAGTAATCTGCTTACCTTGTTACAATCGCGACAGAGAACCTGCAATGGACCAAAAAGGAGGTAAAATTATTGCATTTCCAACTGCACTGTTGGTCATTAGAATTTTATGTATTCCTGGATATAAAAGGAGTGATAAAGTCGACCCTGAATTATCCAGATTTTCCCATTATCCAGACTTGCTTCTCTGGCCCCCATCAAATTCAAGATCTGTGACTACTTTTTATTAATTTCCTTTGCCCAAAAGATCAATAATGTTGTGATAAAACATTGTTGGCTACCTTAATCCTTCCCCCCCTAACATCAGTATGTATATTCTCCATACTGTTCTCAATACATTTCCAAAGAGGCTGACAAGGAGAATTTGTGTAACAATCAAGAGCTGCTTTAGTTGGTGATCATCTCCTCTATTCTCATAACTTTTATGTTTGATTCAGGGAGGATATAGTAAGGAGAAATTAGATGCTAGTCACTCTTAGGGGCTAAAGGGTTGATACCTTTTTGTAAATACTTTCAGCAAAATTCTATGTTAACAGTTGATAGACAAAAATTTGAGAACATGCTTTAATTCTTGCATGATAATAATAAAATGATCTAGTTTCTTTTCAGTTGATCAGTTTTATTTTTTGGCTCATAGATATTTATATTTTGACTATCCAGACTCTCAGTTATCCACACTATTCTGTCCAGTCCCCAAGGATTCCAGATAATCAAGGTTCAACTATGTAATGTTCCAAAACCATGCAAAACTCTATGGACAAAAACTTGTCTATTTGTACTATAGTTATATTCCTCAGCGATCTTGTCCAACATTTATGAAGAACCTACAATGTACATACTGTACTTAACCCATTACTTAATGAGTGATTCAGGGGAGATATTGTGAGGAGAAATTAGATGGTAATCACTCTTACACCTCTTAATGACTGTTAGATCACCACTGGCAAGTTTTTTAGTAGGACCAACATTTAGATCTAAAATTAATGTCTTGACTCCCAGAAGTGACTAACATGAAACTTCTCCTGATAATATCCATACTTTATCCATCAAACAGGAAAGGAATATAATCAAACTTATCAGGTACATGTAGAAGTTATTATCTTGATTTAAGACCAGCTTCTCATAACTAATTGATAAGGAAATGTGTAGCAGCTTAAGGGAAGAACTACATGTAACAATCAGAACTGGGGGCTTAAATAGTTAAAAAGCAGGCAGTAGATTAACAGAAGCATCTTACCAGTACATAGAACTCCCTATACTCCTCTGGCATGGGTGTCTGAGATATCTCAAGATCTAGTGTGCGCCACATGCGGGTCATATTAATAAGGGACTTGTTACATATTGGGCAAGCATACCCCCTAAATACAGAATAAAAATTGTTTATTACTATGGTACAAAAACAAGGTTATATTAAGTAGAACTAAAAGAAATACATAATTGAATTGTGAAAAGATCCCAGTGCTTCAGTTGTACTGTAATTATTTATATCAAATCCTCCAAACAAACATTATGAGAATTGTTTGTCAGACAGTAGGAAAAGTTACAGCATAGGTCTTAGAAGTGAAAGGGTTAAATTGCCTTGCGATGAATTAACTGGGTAAGTTTTTGAAGAAACTGTCACTGGCATTGCATCTGTGGGAAGTATTCTATGTCAAGATAATATTTGCTGTTATCAACTGAGTTGAAAATGAAAATTGGCCATTATAGAAAGTTCCTGAAGTTGACATTTTGAATGTCACAGCTGTACCACTTCATTAGAGGATTTAGTACAGCAATCCCCAAGATTCTATTTGTAAAACCACAACAAGAGATTTCCATCAGTGAAGTGCCATCTCTGCTTCTTTGTCCCATTCCATCTTGTTCCACCCCAGGAAGGACAAAGACAAAACAGAACAAAAAAATGACATACCCTGACTCCAGCAACTTGGTGAAGCAAGAGCTGCAAAGTAACAATTTTCACTGTTACTGACTGACACTTTCTCAAAGCACATTTAAGATTGGTAGAGAAATTGTATGCTTTAAATATACTTTTACCATAACCTCTACAATTTCCTCAAATATGATCGGTGCATAATAAGCTGATTTATTTTTCACCAATCATTCTGTACAGTTGTATATTGAACAGTGTAAAGGCTGACGCCTATGATGTGATCACCTAAATGTCTTGAAGAATTGTGCATGTACAATCATTACGGCAACAAACAAAAATTTGAAGGTGAAGGAGAATCATACCTGTGAAGTAGATGCCCGCATGAAGGTACATGTGCTGGTATTCTTGAGGTGTGAATATCCTAATAATAGTGAGATCAATTAACTATGACATTACTATCTTTTAGATGACTAAATAGGTCAAGTTATGTAACCCTTTAACTCCCAAGATTGTATTTAGAAATTCTCTTAACTGCCTGCTATACAATGATCATGATGTCAGTTCTGAGAATTTGGTATTGGATAAACTAATAATACCCTACCTGATATTTTTCTTTATTTTTATAACTTGTCTACTTGATCTTGTATTGATACTGTGGGGAGAAATTATGTCTTGGTCACTCATGGGAGTGAAAGAGTTAACCCTTTAACTCCCATGAGTGACCAAGACAGAATTTCTCCTTACAATATCAATACAATATCAATCAGATAAGTGAGAAGAATAAAGACAAGTATCAATTTGGGGATAATTATTTGATCAAATACTAAATTCTCTGAACCAACATTATAAAAATTGTATGGCTGACAGTATGGAGAATTACAAGTTTGATCTGAGAGTTAAAGGGTCAACTGAGTTGATATTGTAAATTGGCCACTGTAACACATTTCTAAAGCTAATGTTTCAAGCACCAGCCCTATGTATTAATATTGCTATTATGAACAAGCATCTTTCACCAGAGCATCTTTTTGTCAGTCTAGTGTCTTTCACTCTGACGCAGGGCTAAGGCTTGAAATGTCAGCTACAGTTTTAACAGCCTGGCAGTGCATAACAAGCATATTTTCTGCTCAGCAATTTAACTATGAACACTCTGATCAAGTGTTTAAGCCACCTTATTATAAAGTTGGCAGTGCCTGTGGGTAAGATAGAGCAACTCCTGTGGTCTGATTGGCAATCTTAAGCAGATTAGATGGGCCCTACTTGCCTACTCAGGTTCCCACGACCCCATGCAAGGAAAAAAAATTGTGTGGAACAGTCTACACTGTACAATCATGTAATACTTGTATTGGCTGGGTAAGATTAAAAGCTGGAGAAACTAAAAGATTTTACATGAGAGGAAGTTGTGAGAATGAAGAACTAAAGAAGGGAGGGATGGTTGGGGAAGAAAACTGACCCCTGTCCATCTCAAGATTTAGTTTAGCACTCACTTGCCAAAAGATGTCACTGCTACGCAAGGTAATTTTTAAAAGATGACTAATACCAAATTCCAAATCACAACATCAATGTTGCTTTGTGTACCTGTGAATAAGTCATTTTTATACAACTTTCTACAACAAAACTTAACCCTTTAACTCTCAGAAGTGATTAACATGTAAATTCTCCCCTATTATATCCACACAGTATTTAGCAAACAGAAAATGAGAATACTCAAACTTATCAGGTAGAAGTTGTTATCTTGATCTAACACCACATTCTTGTAACCAATTTAATGGGAAATGTCTAGCAGGAAGAGGGGAGAATTAACAATCAGATCTTGGGAGATAAAAGGTCAATTATTTCATGTAGCATAACTCTCACCTCATAGCAAATGGGACAATCAGACTGTGAACTCTTTTCAATGCACTGAGACAAGAAAATTTAGAATTCATTAAACAAGAAGCCAAACCAATCATGAGTTTAACCTAATTAACACATGTTATAATAAGGACTCAGTTTTCAAAGCACAATTACATATTTTCTAAAGACTGTCGTATTGGCCAACAAAATCAGTACTTCTAGATTAGTATATTTCAGCAGCAATAAAGGCACACTTTGTTTGCATGTACACCTAAGCTAATCTGGGTACATGTATTTATCAAACAATTGAAAAGAAAAAAATTTTTAAGTCAAATGTATCAATTATTTTTAACCTTGTTTAAATCTGAAAAATAGAACATTTTCATGATCATGGTTTTTTCCTTTGCATACGCAAAATTAATGTTAACCTTAGTCATTACAAGGAATGAGACTGAGGGTGCTTTAGGCCTAAAGAATGTCACAGTCATGGAACAGTAATGTTTATCTCTGATCGCAAGGCTGTTTGCTTTAATCTGAACTTATGGAAACCAGTAAATGAGAGGAAGACTGTTGTCTCTCATAAATTAAAGGGATTTGATTTTGGTGCTTTCAATGAGATGACTATATTGACCGGTTTGTCGGATGGATGTGTCTTGCAATGTATTGAGTCGTTGGCCAAGGAGTATGATGAGATGTTGTGCAAGGCTTTGGACAAGCTGGCACCTAAAAAAACTCGCACTATTGTCATTCAACCAAATGCCCCTTGGTATAATGAGGAGATCACCACTCAGAAGAGGAAGAGGTGAAGGCTCAAACATAAATGGCATTCAACTGGTCTTGAAATTGATAGGGTGAATTATTTGGAACAGTGCAATGTTGTAAAATGGAATCATGCTCATCCACTTAGAGTATCGTCCCTCTCCATCCTTTCAGTTGTTACATGTTGGTGATGAGAGCGTGGCTGTCTCTCAATTTTTAAAAGAGCAATTAAGATGTTTCTGTTTAGTAAATATATTTAATAGCAGACCATTATTTTTATAGATTTATATAATTATATTGCTTTACACTTAATTTCCTTTTTTTAATCATGGTGAATTTTAGCTATGTTTAAGTATCATATAATAAGATATGGCTGGCTTTAGTTTTGTTTTTCTTTTTTAATCATATTTGATTATGAATTTTAGCTATGTTTAAGTATCATATAGTAGGATATGGTTGTAAATTTGAAAATTTTTACCAATGATGTATGATTTTGTATGATTGTAAAGTGCCTTGAGCAGAGAATACAAGCGCCATATAAATAAAGTTGTTATTATTATTATTAGTATTAATATTATTTTTATAAGCATCTCATTTCTCGCAACTGTACCAGTCCACTGAATCAAACATTACGGCCATGAGAATAAAGGAAATGATCACAAACTCAAGCAGCTCTACATGTAACTTGATAGTTCAACAAATTCTCACTCTAAGAACCATAGAAAATGTATAAAGAACAGTTAAGAGAAATTGCATACTGGTGTTTGACGGTAATGGTTTAACAGAGTGCCACAGTTAACTCACCTTATGCAAGTCCTTCAGCTGAATTCCAAGGCACATGTCACATCGATCACAGTGGAAGAAGTTCTCTTTTCCACCAACTCTGCCATATGAAGATTTCTTAAGTCAGTTTGATGCATTACATATCAAAATAAAGATTATGCAGGGATTACTGGTTAATAATACAAGTGCATTGAAAGTTGAGTTTCCGTCCCCTAGCAGCTTCTGATGGCAACCTCAATTGTTTCCAATGGAGATCTAAGAACAATTAACCCTTTAACTCCCAAGATCTCATTAGTAATTCTCCTTACTGTCTGTTTGAAGTTCTTGCGATGTTAGTTTGGAGAATTTGGTATTGGATCAATTTATAATTCCCTAATTGATATTTTTCCTCATTCTCATCACTTGTCAGCATGATATTGTATTGATATTGTAAGGAGAAATTCTGTCTTGGTCACTCATGGCAGTTAAAGGGTTAACTCTTTCACTCCCATGAGTGACCAAGACTGAATCTCTCCCCACAGTATCAATACAATATCAAGCAGGCAAGTGACAAGAACTAATAGAACTAGAGCAGCTTCTGTTTGTCAACCAGTTCTGGGACATCACATATGTGTAGCTAGCTTTCTGGAAGAGGTTGTTTTCAAAAGGGCAGCACCTATTTTTGAACTTGAAGTACTGGTATGTCTAAAACAACTTCCAAATGGCTAACTGTTGCTAGTACTCTTTGGAATCTTAACACATGGTACAAACTAAATTTATAGATAAGCTTTTCAGCGGTGGTGATTGGTACAAAGTTAATTTTTAGATAAATTACTTTTCAATGGTGTGGACTATACTTCTCCTTCAATAACTCACTACATTGTAATCTTTTCCACAATCATATCAAAAACACTACATTTACTAACAGTGTTAGTATTTGTTAACATAAAAATGACAATACCTGCAAATTCCACAACCACTGCAGTGAAACTGCCCCTTCTCTGTATCATCAAACAAGTGGCAGATCTCACAATAGTATCGTCCAAATTTTATCCCACAGTCTTTACAGTGGGATCTGACCTTTGGTTAGAAAATTAAATCAGTCAGTCTGTCTGTCTCAGAGTTGTATCTGGAGAAATACATTTATATACTATGGTAGCCAATTTATACTCTCCTTCTGGCACAGCACTCTAATAAAAGAAACTAACCCTCCATATTCATCTACATTAAAGATTATGTTGAAGATTAGAACTATATAATTTTATTTATAGATCTGCTCAAACAAAGATTTGGTGACAAAATTTTGCTCTCAATTTTTTTGCAACCTTTCTCACTAATCACCTTTCTTATAGCTGGCAAACTTTGCAGGTCAAACTGGTGCCTACTGGAATAACCCACAGTCTTGTGCACCAAGTATATACAGTGTAGAGTAATTTTAACCTGTTACATCTTAAAATCAGCATGCATATTTTCTATACTGTTCTCTGTACATTTCCTGAAGTGCTGACAGGGAGAATTTGTGTAATAATCAAGAGCTTTATATGTTGGTGATCATTTCCTTGATTCTTGTGACCTTAGTGATTGATTTGGGAGTGTGATTGTAAGGAGAAATTAGAAGCTGGTCAGTCTTACCCTTGCGAACTGAATTCCCAGTTTTCTGGGAATTCCTAGGAATTCTCAAAAATTCCCAATTATGCAAATAACCCTTGCAAACTGAATTCCCGGTTTTCTGGGAATTCCTGGGAATTCCTAGGAATATAAAAATGAAAAGTGCTAGTCACACTTCAATAATAACAGCTCTTAAGTTTACTTGTTGTTCTTCTCTGTCTGTCAGCTATCAACAAAATTGTTTTATACTTCGGGCAGTGCATGGTATTTGGCAACTATTTGTGGACCAGAGTTCCAACACACCTCTGTAATCGCATATAGCTACTTCTGTCTCTTGTACAAATGTTTCTCCTTTGTAAGACGCACTCTACTCTGTTGTCAATACTGCTTTAAGTTCAGTGGAAACGACTGACTGAGGAATCGAGATGGCGGTGTTGGAACGTGTTGCTGAACGCTTGCTACGGTCAAGCTTTGTAGATTTAGGTACTGGTACACTGGGATCATCTATGTATCTCTTATACTTGTGAATGTGGTATCCTTCTTTTCTAAATATGAGGGTAAAAGACGATTTGTAGTCGCATTCAAAACTGTGATTGGCTTGTGTTATTTCTCACCTTTGCCATTAACACAACTCAAGTGAGTTTCGAGTCTTTGTTTCCTCGACAACTTTCGACCACAAATCGTGCATTTGTAATACGATCGATTCTTGTCGATTATTTCTACATAGAGTGAGCTCACATCTTTATTTATATCACCAAGGTATCCATCTTCTAGAAGCAGAGAATCGGTCGGAGAAGTCAGAATAAAGTTGGGCGCTTCTCTTAAGACTGCAATCGGCAAGCCAGCGGATTCACTTTGCTAGCCAATGACAAGTCCTAAAAGATCCACGTGATCATGCCGGTGATCGGAAACAAAGAAGACTCCATTTGGCGCTCATCTTTGAATGTACTTTTCATCGGTTGATCGCTTTTCTCAACTGTTTTGCTTAATATAACATTTCTCAAGATAGCTTTTATTGTGGTTCAATGGGAAAACGAGAATAGCGTGAGTGTTGTAAAAGAAAAGAAAGTCGTTGGCGCCGTGGAGTTAAAAGAAGGGATAACAGTTGACATATTGACTGGTACAAACAAGGGTCGAGTGGCCATCTGTAAAGCTACGATTTTGAAAGTTTGTGGTGAGTAAAAATTGCGATATTCGTTACGTGATCAAAATCTTATAAAAGAATAGATGTAGCGGGTTGAATTAAGCTTACATAACGCTCGGCGCAACTGAAACTAGACTAATTCTGAGAATCGAATCGGTCACTTGCATGCCGCAGTTTCTTAAGCTTATGCTTTACAATGATATAAACCTATCAGTAAGGTTTCAAGATTCCTCTTGTCACGTTTGGGAACATTCAAGATTCATAATAGGAACTGTTATTAAACAAACCTTAGTACATAAATCTTCATTCACAAAATAATGTATTCAGCCCTTTTTTAGTAAAATCCATGAGAGAGATGTACTAACTTCAATATAAAAGTCACTCAATATAACAGAGATTTCTCAATTTGAGAATCCAAGGAATGCCCTTTTCCTCATAGCCATCTTAAAAGCCTGGTCTGAGCTTTAAATATACATATTTTAATATATTTTTTTTTTCAAATTCAGATGTCAAGGAATCCAGATACAAAATGGTCAAGGTTCTTGTTGACAACCTCATTCAAGGCCAACTCATTGTGAGCCCAGGAAAAAAAACAGTACAAACAGCAGCTAAGTTTGCAGTTTAGGATAACTTCATTCTAATTTATTGTTACAGTTACAACAAGATTTTAATCAAAAAATCAATTTTATTTGTCTGTAATTAGCCCCTTCACTCCCAAGAGTGCTTGGTTTTCAAATATAACTTAAGATATTGTATTTTATGGAAAAGAATCAACAGATTTTATTCACAATTTGTGTCAAACCAAATTTAATGATTGATTAGAACTATTTTATATGAATAGCTGTAATTGAGGATTAATCCGTATGAAGTTTTCAAGAAAAGAAAAATAAATCAAATTCCATCCTAATATTACCACACATTGATGTTAATAATTAATCAAAAATATTTTACATGTAAGCCTTAATTAAGCTTCTAAATAAATTTTATTGAATACTTGAATTTTAGCTGGATTTTTTTAATTTAAAATATTTATTTTATATCATTAGCCTCATATTTTTGCTTAAAATTCCCAGTAATTCTTAAACATTCTTAAAAATTCCCAAAAATTCCCAAAAATTCCCAGAAATTCCTAGGAATTTTTTAGATTTACAGCTTTTCAGGGAAAGTCATTGGTTCTCTGAGTTGGAATTCCTAGGAATTCCAAGTCCTGTTGGCTATAAACTTGGAATTTCTGGGAATTTCTGGGCATTTTTGGGAATTTCTCGGAATTTCTAGGTTTTTAGAACCAGAGTTGTTATGGTTAATAATTCCTAGGAATTCTTCTAGGAATTCCCAGTCCGAATTTACCGTGAAAATTCACACCTTTATTCCTAGGAATTCCAAAAGCCATTTCGCAAGGGTTTAGCTTGGAGAATTAGGTATTAGATCAACTTGTAATCCCCTAATTGATATTTTTCTCTATTCTTGTCACTTGTCTGTTGGATATTGTATCAATTTTGTTGGGAGAAATTCTGTCTTGGTCACTCATGGGAGGTAAAGGGTGACAGGCTGCTTGAGAAGCTCTCTATGGTGGCCAGTTTACACCAGCTTAGTTGATAAAATGACTCTATCTTTGAAAGATTGTTTCTCTTTGCAATCTCTAAACAAACTCTGTGTCATGACATCATAATTACTTTTTGATAGTGGAGGTAAAAACTAGGAACTTAGCAGTGTTCTTCTTTTCAGACAGTAAATGGCAACATTTACTGGCTGAAGTACCTCTTTTTATTACCTAAATTGCTTGAAATTATTTAAAATTTGACAGGAAAAAAGAAAATGCTCTACTGGCTTGAAAGTTCATATTTCCTCAGTTGTGTTCAAATTTTGGAGATCACTAACCTACTGTTGTGTACAACCAGCAACGACAAATTTATTTTCCATAACAATTGAAATACATATCTAACAACGCATATGTACAAAATAGGGAAGCTAGTTGCATGCTCTTCTCCTTTTAGTCTCTGATTTTGACGATCGTTCATGCGCTATTTTTGCCATATTCTAGATCTTTTGATAGATAAGTCTGCCTCTGATGTCAGTAAAGAGTCTTGGTTGAACCACAAGATAACAGTAGTTTGTGTGGTGACGATTCCGGAGGGCGATACAGCAATGTTCTCGTGGATGCATATCCCATCAAACACAACAGTAACCCAAGGGATGGCATGATGACACAGCTAGCAAGAGCTACCTACGAATGGTTACCAAAGAGGATGTTGAGTTTGAGAAATTCCAAGCCAAGAACAAAATACCATGCAGTCAATGTCAAAAAGCTTAGTATGTGTTATTAACCCTGTTACACACAAGATCTTTGTATCAATTCTCCCATCTGTCTGCCCTACATTTCTTTGAATTTTAGCTGTGAAAGTTTTGTGTTAAATTAAACAATACCTTGGTATTGATTTTTTCCTTTCTTTGCAAGATCTTTCTGCTTGATACCATATATGATAAGGAGAATTCCCCTCCTATGATAACCTGAATTATTAACCATTTAACACCTAATAGTGACTAACATCTAATTTCTCCTCTCAAATCACCCTTAACTCAAACATTAAGGTCTTGAGAATAAAGGAGAAGAACACTGACTAAAAAATATCTTGATTGTTGAACAAATTCTCCTTGTCAGAACCTAGGAAATGTCTAGGGAGAAGTATGGAGAATATGCATACTGATGTTACAGTGTAAAGGTTTAAATAATGCATTTTTATTGGGTCTAAATTCTGATCTAATGGGGTCACCATTAACATCATTTTGCCTTTTATCATACGATAAACATTAATCCTGTAACCCCTGAAAGTGACCAGCATCTAATTTCTCCTTACAATATCATCCCAGAATCACATATTGAGGTCATGAGAATGAAGGAAATGATCACCAACTAAAGAAACTCTTGATTGTTAAACAAATTCTCTTAGTCAGCACCTTAGGAAATGTATAGAGAACAGTAGAGAGAAAATGCATAATGATGATAGGGACTGTAAAGGGTTAACAAATAGATTCCATTTTGCCAAATGTCTAGCTTTTGAGTTGCTTCTAGGTTGTTCAATGGATGTTAGCTGGGAGTCTTAAATTTAGTTTGCTGTTGTCAGTTGATATCAGAGTGGAAATCTCTCTAATTCTCAACTAAATTGTAAGGATACTTTTTGTTACAGCTCCACCATCACCACCAAGAAATCTTAAAACACAAACAGTATTTGATGAAGCAGCAATTTATATCCAACTGAAATGGGATCCCCCATCAACAGATGGTGGCACAGAAATCAAGCGTTATGTTATTCAATATGTGGCTAAAGGTCTCTCGTGGAAGTCACCGAACAAAGCCGAAACTACAAGTACTGAATATGGCGGCCTGAGACTTCCAAATGGAAAGTACAATGCTAGAGTCAGGGCCCAGAACAAGGCAGGCTTAGGACCCCCTTCAAATGAAGTGATTATAGATCTTGGTAAGTCTATACTTTTGACCCTATATGGTGTATATCAGGGGTGATTCTGTAAGGAGTAATTTGATGCTGGTCACTCTCAGGGGTCAGAGTTAAAATGTTACATATATATATATATATATATATATATATATATATATATATATATATATCTTTGACCCCAGAGAGTGACTAGCATCAAATTACTCCTTACAGAATCACCCCTGAATCACACATTAGTGTCTCAAGAATAAAGGAA